TTGGGGCTCACCCTGTCCCTGCCAGGGACCTCTGCTCCTCTGAGCCTCCCCTGTGGGTTCTTTCCCTGCTGTCTCCAGCCGGCACCCCCTTTCCTCCTCGCTCACCCCTGTTTCCTCTCAAATCTGGGGCTTCTCCCTCACTCTTGGCCCTCCCCATGAAAACACAGGTAAGTGGACAGTCCTTGTGCCCACGGTCCTCTTAGCTGCCAGCTTCGCACCCGCCAGAACTGAACGCCCTTAACAGCCACCTCCCTTGGGGTCCTGCACCCCTGCTGCTCACCCAGGCTACTCTACCCAAGAAGCATCTCTCCTGGCCTCACCTGTGCTCCTCTCTCACCAGCCATGCCCCCCAGAGACTCCCTCTCCCTTTGCCTTTGGAGCACCTGCCTCTCTGTCCTTCCTGCTCTGCCTCCTCCTTAGCCCCTCCCTTCTCCCTGCCCCTGAGATGCTGGGGTCCTGGGGGCTCAGGTGCAGGCCCTGTTTCTGCCCCTTCTCCCACACTCCCAGAATGGTGTGGAGGCCAGGGCTCAGGTGGGAAGCTCTTTCTTGCCTCCCTTCTGAGCTTTGCAGCTACCTGGCCATGCGACCTGCACCTGAAAATCATCTGTCCTAAAGAACGAACAAGTGGCCATTCGTCACTTTCTCTTCTACCCCTCATCACTTCACTCTGCCCAGCTAAAGACCCGCTGTCCTCGTCTGTCCAGATGTCCACGGTGTGACCTAGGTGTCAGCCCAGCCCTCTTCTTCCCTGCCACCCACTGCCCCAAGCAGTCGCCTCCCCCTCTGCTGCCCTTAAGCCCATCCACCTCTCTCTATCACCGTTGTCCTTCCTGGGTCCTCTCCATTTATTGCCAGCAAAATCCTGTGCACCCAGCAGACACCCTGCCCCATTCCACTTTTACCATCCATTCTTCCTGCTGCAGCCGAATAGTTTCCTGACACAGATCTGATGGGGTCTGGTCACCCTCAGCCCGGCCCACCCCCACCTCCTCACCCCAGCTCTGCTGCTCTGACTAGTTGTTGTGCCTTACTCTTCTCTGCCTCCTGAGCTCTCTCTGCAGCCTCCCAGCTTTGGCCTCTGGAGGCATTCCTGCCCAAATGACCCCCATCTTCTTTGCTCATGTCCCTTCTCCCTTTAGGACTCCCTACCTCCCACATTCTGGTGTGGCCATGGACCCCAGGAGCGCCTGCTATGCCTCAGGCTTCCCCACCTCTCTGCTCCACGCTCTGCTCTGTCTACCTTTCCCAGGGCACGGCCAACTCCTTATGGATCCCCAGGGTTGGCACAGTGCTCACCCTATAGGTGGCACTTCAGTATGTCTCGTGACTAAATCAGTACATGCACAGTGATGGGTGTTATACCCTCCTTGTACCTGCTATGAAAAGCTATGAAAGAGGGCTTCAGGCTGTGTATTCATTGCAGCCTTATTTTGCAAAGAAGAAAAGAGAGCAGTGGGTACTTCGGGCGTTATGGAGGAACCTGGGAGCTGTGGGTCAGGCTGAGAAACCAGCTGCTAAGACCCTCTTCTCTAGAAACCCAAGGTCCGATCCTAGTGAAAGTCAGTGTCAGTAAATCCCTCCTCCGTACCTTTCAGGTCCCTCTTCTCCTTCTGGGAATGCGATTGGTCATTGGAGCAAGAGGGCACCCCAGTGGGCTGCTAGGCTCCAATCCAGGGTCTGGATTGCTATGCCTTTGGGGAGCTTCTTGATCCCATCTGCACCTCACTTTCCACATCCTTGACATGGTAATAATAATTGTACCAGCCTCAAGGATTATGGGCCAGATGCAGTCAAGCTTAGATGGCCACCAAAGGGAGACATCATATTCCCATGTACACAAGAGGAAACAGATCCAGCCAGGTGATGGCACCCACCCAACGCGAAGCTGCTGGCAAGGAGAGCTGGGATTGGAGCCCAGTGCATCTCTGTCTGTCCCAGAGGCTGAGAACTACAACTCTGAGCCCTGGGCTCAAATCTGCAGGAATATGCAGAATATGCTACTATGGCATGAAAAGGGTGCATCATGAAGAATGCACATAGTAGGTTTATTGGCACATAGTGGGTGCCCATAAATATGACCCACACACATGGATCCCCCTGTAGAGCACCAGCTAGTGTTCAGCTTCTCCCGCTCCCTGAATGATGTTGGGAGGTCCTTTCCTGGGTCCTTGCTGGCCAGTGTGTGGGCAGCAGACTTCCTTATTCAGACCTGTCACTCAGGGTCACTCAGGAAGCTTTTCCCAGGAAGACCTGGGCCTTCCCGAGTCTCCGGAGTGGCGGGCCCCAGTCCCCACATTCTCAAAGGCTGTCCTGGCGTTTTCAAAACCACGCCACAGCCAGTGGGCTGAGAAACCAGCTTCTAAGACCCTCTTCTGTAGAAACCCAAGGTCCGAGGCTAGTGAAAATCAGTGTCAGTAAATCCCTCCTCCATACCTTTCAGGTACGGCTTCTCCTTCTGAGAGTGAGATTGGTCATTGGAGCAAGAGGTCACCCTAGCAGGCTGCCCAGCCCCAGAGATCATGGCATCCGGAATGTGAGGAAGATGGGAAGGAGCCAGCTTGCTGGGGGTGGGGGGAGCTGTCTGTTTCTTCCCCCTGAGTCCCCCAAGCAGTTTCAGCTTTCAGGGCCCTGGTTCAGAGGACAGCCACATCAACTAGAAGGCATGCGTGTGTTTGTGTGTGTGTGCACCCCTGCTAGCTGGGACCCTGTGTTTGATGTGTTTCTTTCATGATAAGCTCAAGTCTGGGTTGAGCAGGCTCAGGGCACACCCAGGTTATTTCTGTCTATAGCAACCGGCTTATTTCCTGCTCTGGATTATCCCCCCTCACTCATCATTTGACGGGTTGTCACTGGGGATGTGTTGGGTGGCAACTCGTAAGGCAGTAGGTATATGTCACCCATGAGATCCTAGTCTGTGAACAGCAGAGTCAATGGGCACCTGAAATTCCCTGCAGGACTGAGGGTGACTGTACTTCTGGGGAGAAAGTCATCCATGCAGTCACTGCTCAAAGGATCCATGCATTGTGACCAAGAGACAAACTATTGCTTTCCACTACTGCGATCATTGGGGACATTCATTACTGCATCATAACCTGGCCTTTCCTGACTGCTACGGGGGCCTGGAAAAGCTTCCTGGAATGAGTGATATGTGAACCCTTGGAGGATGAGTGGAACTGAGCCAGGAGAAGGAGGAAGTGAAGACATCCTCCCCACATTCCCTCCAAGAAAGAAAAATAAATATTAAAAGTGACTCAGGTGGCATTTGTACTCATTCCTTGGAGGCCAGGAAATCGACGTCTGTGGTACTCAGACTTTTCTGTGCATGAGAAATCCTTGGAGGGACGTGGCAGAATGCAGCTAACTGGGGTGTTTCTGCACAGATTGGGGTTCACTGGGGCTCGGGAATGTTTGTGCTTCTGGCAGGCACCCCCAGGATCCTACTCTGGGTTACACTACTCTGTTACAATAAAAGCTGTAACAGATTTTCCTAAAGGTGTCCTTTAATAAGTCCTAAGGTTTGAAAACAAATTAAAATGGAGACTAAGACTAAGACACAAATCAAGTAATGGTCATTGTGACCAAGTGGCTGCCCTCTTTCCTCTCACATCGCTGAGCCCTCTTTTCTGTCCCCCTTACCCAAGAAGAGGGTGAGAGCCACGTCAGCCTTCATCTTCTGTCCTTGCCATCCAACCTAGTGCCTGGCGCGTAGTGGGTGCTGCTCCCCCTTCTGGCTCTGAGTCCCAGCAGCTCCATGGTTGCACAGAGTCTGATTTTCTTTGGGGGCCTGCTTGATTTCTCCAGCGGGAGTCTGGGGCCAGAGGGAGCCTGCTGACCAGTGCTAATTGGTGTCGTTGAGTAATTAATGCAGAGTCAGGCCCAAGTGGATTCCCAGGGAGACAGACGCTGAGGGTGGCTGTCATGCTTGGTGGGGTGGGAGCTCCTTTCCCAGAGGAGGCTCTCGGAGTGCCGGGGCAACTGGCACGAGCCGAGGTGGGGGTGCTTTGGCAGTCCAGAGGGGCTCACTGAGCAAGTTTGCAGGAGTTTGTGTTGGTGCCACGGTTCTGCACAGTATGGAGCATGGTGAGCTTGACTTTAAAGAAAAGAAGCCCCAGCATGGGCTCTGGGAGCCAGGCCCACATTGGCCATGCGGAACCGACGGGCCTGCAGAAAGGCTGTGCCTCCCAGTATTGGCCCTGCTGGCCTCTGCCCCGTGGTGTGACAACCAAGGGTCCCGTGCACCTCCACTGATCACCCTTCTTGCTGTTCCTTTTGGCCGCCTGTGCCCCGGCTTGCTGTGTTCCAAGTGCACCATGCTCCATCTCCCTCAACCTGGAATAATCTCTGCTCCCTTCCTCTCTTGGCTCAGTCTGCTCATCCTTCAAAGCGTGGCCCACATGTTTCTGCTTCCAGAAAGCTTTCGTGGACACCCTGTAGCAGTCAGGATGGGTTAGGTTATGCCACAGTAACAGGTACCCCATCAATCTCGGTAGCTTGGAACAACAAAGTTTATTTCTTGCTTATACTCCATCCCTGAGTGGGGCAGAGGAGGCTCATGTTGACACCAGCCTCTGTTGTGACAATGGAGCTGGGGAAAGGGCAGCAAGGGAGCAGGTGACCCTGCTCTGGAAGCTTCTGTCTGAAATGACATTTGTCCCATTGTTGGCCAAACAGTGGCCAAAGCAAGTCCTGTGTCCAGTGTGAGCTCAGCAGGGATGGGACAGCGAGCACCCCCTTGGGCACTTGGAATGTTTACAGATCTCACTGCAGCATCCCAGGTACCACGGGCAGGTGTTTCTGGCCTTCCCTGAGCCCTGTGCGTTACGTCTCTGCCCTATCTCTCTCACCTCCCCCTCAGAGAGTGGATCCACGGGGGCAGGGTGGTGGTGCTTTTCCCCTTGGGGGCCCCAGGTTTGGCTCAGAGAAGGCGCTTGGCAAATGTGGGGGATGGGCAATTGGTGGGTGGCCATCGCCAGCCTATGACTCTCCACCCTCTTCTGCAGGCGCCACGTGCTGGCCATCTCCGACGGGATCGAGCACATTGGGAGCCTCCGCTGGGAGCTGGCCTTGTGTCTCCTGGCAGCCTGGACCATCTGCTACTTCTGCATCTGGAAGGGCACCAAGTCAACAGGAAAGGTGAGAGGTTGATCTTGGAGCAACTATGCAGGAGCAGGAGAAGCATGATTGATTGTTCTGTGCTGGCTCAGGTGACTAGAGAGTGCCTAGCAGCTGTGTTGTGAAGGCTGGCTCAGAAGTTGGCAGGTAGGATGAGCACTGGGCAGAGAGTCCACTCAGGAGCCCAGAGTTAAGTGCAGCATGTATTCGTTACATGCCTTAGGGCTGTTCCGCTTTATCTGCTGAGCCTCAGTTTGCTTACCAGTGAAAAGACAAAGATTTACCCTGTCTGCCTCATAAAGTGCATTGGAAACTTAGCAGCGCCAAAGGACTGCGGTGATCCTTGGGTCAGTGAACTGTGTGCTGGGTGGGGAACACCGGCCGTCTCTCCTGGAAGGTCCCAGATCCCAGAACACCCTTCTCCCCCTCTCGCAGTCTGTGGAGGGGAGAGCAACCACCTCTGCCTCACAGCCTCCCTGGACTCCAGAGCCTCCACCTGGCCAGGCTGGACGCATGAGAGAAGGCAGCCAGCTCATGGCTTTCACTCACAGGCTTTGGGCCAGAACCTGAGACTGGGCCCCGGGACAACTGGGAAACACAGGGACTTTGGTGGTGGGCGTGTCATGTGCCTCGAGGATCAACACAGAGTTAGAAATGTGAAGCTCATGGTCAGGTCCAGCTCACTTATGAGTTTTACTTTAAAAAAGGGAGTGAGGGTCAGGGAGAGTTAATTGCCAACATGTAGAAATCAGGGTATTTGACCTGGAGAGTAGAAATCTGATCCTGGCATCCCTTGGCAAATAAGATTGGGCTGCACCAGACCTGCAAGCTGCCATGGCCGCGTGTGGCTGAGCTGAACAACAGCCACCTCCTTCCCAGGTTCTGGTTGGCCACAGTCCCCAACACTCCCTGTCACCCCATCCTGTGGCCGAGTGTCAATGCTATGAGCTTCCTCCTGTTGGCCACTTAGATTTTCCTCTTTGCCTGTCTGGTCATTGACCGAAAGTTGCTCAAAAGCAACGTTCTAAGTTATTGGCTGGGGCAGGTGCTGGAGAGAAAGCTCTAGGAAATGGCAAGGTCACACATCTGGGCCTTCCTGCAGACTGGCCTGCATCTCCAACAGGCGGGTGGGACATGCACTGGAGGTGGGTGACCTGCAGCAGACGGGGTAGAGAGCCCAGCAGAGTTAGTGCAAAGTGCCACACTCCATGGTGTAAAAGAGCTAAGGGTACACTGAAAAACAGCCACAAAGGTGCCGGGGCCAGAGAAAGTAGGAGTGGGAAACTTGGGTCCTTCAGCCACGGGGACCATATTGATCTCTAGTTGGTATCATAAAAACAACTGGATTTTTCTCTTTTCTGTAGTACAGAGTTGTTGCGTTGTGATAGACTTCAGGTTGCGTCCACGTTGCTCCCCACCCTATCTGCACCACCTCTTCTGGCCTAAGAAGAGCAAAGTGACAGGATCAGGATTCCAAGCCCAGGTCTGCCATTCCTACCCGTGACCTTGGCACATCGGTTAATTGTTCTCTGTCAACCTAGATGATGAATGAGGTGTCCTGTGGGGAGGCCAGGGATTCAGCGCAGGGCTTGCGTTCAGGGCTCAGCAGAATGAGTGATGCATGGCGAGTGCTGAGAAAACTGGGAGTTTTAAAACCTCTTGTAATAAAGATAAAATGAATCCATTCATGAAGTAGTTTGTGACCAGCTGGGAGTGGACATTTATCCAGGGCCTCCTGGTCCCTGGATGCTATGCTAGGGCTTTTCATCAATTCCAGTGATTGCCCTGCTTTCCAGGTGGACAACTGGAAGCTAAGAGCAGTGGGGCAGCTTGGCCATGGTTATGTAGTGACCCTGTACCTCACCACCGACCCCAGAGCTCTCTCCAGCCCCCTCTCCTCTGTGGATCAGTGCATAGAACACATGTTGAGAGTGGCATCCGTGCACACAGCTGCCGTGGCCTCCTTTCCTCCTCTCTGTTGGAGGTGAGGAGATCAAGATCAGCAGCAGTGGTAGCATAGACCCCAGGTCCATGGTTAATAGTCACCAAGGGTTTCCTCTGGGCTTCAACTCTTATTCTTCTCAGGCCATGGAGACACCCCCTGAGACAGTAACCCCCAATGCCCCTGCTGTACAGATGAGCAACCGAGGCTGGGGGAAGTGACTTGCTCATGGACCCTCCAGTAGGAAGTGGAAATGCATGAAATTCAAGTGTTGGTGGCCACACAGTCCTCATTGTGGTCAGGTGCGCTGTGCCTGTCATCCGTGGCTTGGGGACAATGATGGTTTCTTATGGCTGGTTATGAAGAGGTGGTTATTGGGATCGCTTAGCACATAGCAGGTGCTCGGTGACCATTGGCTGCAGCATGATATAAATGAACCTCTGCAGGGCAGTGCTGAAAGTTGATGAGCCAATCAGACATCTCCAGGTAGGCTGGTTGCCACTGGTTGTTCACATGTCTTGTGCCCAGGACCTGAGTCAGCTTCCAGGATGAAACATAGTTTTGGAGGGATGTGAGAATCTGTAGAAACCTCTGGTCTTGCCTTACCCTTATTCATATGTGAAGAAACTGAGGCTCAGAGAGGGGCAGGGACTTGGCCAAGGTCACACAGTGAGTAAGTGCCAGGCCAGGAATGAGAGGCACCCCAGCTCCCCAGCTTTTCACAGGCTGCATGGGTCACATGTGACAGTGTGGTGACACCAGACAACCCTACACCATCAGGTGGACTCATCAGGGAGGATGTGGCACTTTGGTTCCTGTTTATTGCTCATTGCACCTTGGGAATGAGCTCAGTGTCCAAAGGTTTTTTGAGTTCTGCACAAAAAGAGCTAAAAAGAGATCATCGGGTGACCTGAGACTCCCAGTGTGGGCAGAGGCACCCTGTGCCCTGCCTGTGGGAGCCGGAGCAGAGCCATCTTCATGCAGCCATCCAGGGGAGGAGATGCCTTTGCTCTCAGTCTCCTCCCTGGAGGCACAGCCTGCTTCCTGGTGCAGCCTGGGTAGAGCTTTCTGTCCATGGAATGTTCCTCAGTGGGAGAGGTTCCTGGTCCCCGCCTGTCTCTAGGTGGAAGCTGCTCTTGGTCTCTGCCCACTTTGGCCAGCACATCTTGCAGCCAGGGAGGCTGGCGTGGGAAGCCTGGCCTTTTGTGGGATGGAGGGATTCGGTCCCCTGTGAGTCGATCCCTAGTGAGGCTGCCACAGTGAAGTCAGGTTTTGCTGGCATTCACGTCTCCACCGGGGACAGCTGGTGTCACAGAGAGATGGCATTCAGTGTCTCCCTCCCCAGGGCCAGATGAGCAGTCCATATCCACATTAGGACCTGTAGCAAGGTGCTCACTCCTCTTTTGTTGCTTTAATAAACACTGGTAGGGTGTACAAATCCCACCTGTGGCTGGAGCTCCTGGAAGGTGTGGGGGACACAGCAGTGAAGACAGAGGACAGTGTGGTCCCATGGAGCAGGCAGCCCTTGAGGGTGGTGCGCAATCAGACACCAGTTATGATTCAGAGCGCCCATGCTGCATCTGATAATGTAACACTGCAGCAAGTGAGTGAATCAGATTCTTAAGAACCTGGGATTTGGAGGACTGAGAATACCAGCATGTCAGAGCCGGAAGTCATCTTGGCTTGTAAGTGAAAGCTGATTTTACAAGTGAGGCAGTAGAAGCCCAGGAAGGGAGCAAGGTTTGCCCAATGCCATGAGACCACCTGCACGCAGCATCCCCAACCTGGGCCATCTGCTTGCCCTAAACAGGGTCTTCACTTGCCTGCCCCTCCTGCAAGGATGAGTATGGCTTCAAGGCAGATACTTTGATCTTCATCCTGAGCGTCCCAGAGGGGCTGGCCATCTTTATTTCTCTGCACAGCAAAATAGCTGCAGTTTGATTGCTACAGAGTTCTTCTCCCTGTCTCTAGAGGCTGTTAGAAATTCCAGAAATCTCTCATGGGCTAAGAAAATAAAGAAACCTTTCTCAATCATATGTTGTCTTGAGGAAATGAGATGCTGAAGTACTTGCTTCCTCTGAAGCGGGATGCTTCCACTGCAGAATGACTTGTCACCTTTTGAAAGAAGAGTTTCACTCCAGATATCTGGAATTGGGTCACAGAAATCAGGCGATCAAAATGTGGGGCTATCTCTGTGATGTCCCTGTGTCCTCCTCTTATTCATTGTCCACATCTGTGTTGCTTATTACTGCCACTGGCTTTTCTTCCTGGTCTCAAGGCCTGAAATCACCTTCAACTCTCACCCAATTACTAGCCAAGCCGAAACACAGAAACAACCAAAGCATCCTGTTCTTTCCACCTGCCCATTCAACAAGCATTGAACATTCACTAGCTCCCCAGTACCTTGGGTGAAAGTTGCTGTTATGCTATCTCTTTCTACAAATATATTGCTGCTGTGCAGGATGATATACCTGAAATTCTTTGTGTTCTAAGAAATAATGATTTCAAAGTAAACCAAGGGATACCTGGTTTTATTCTGTCACCCTCAGTGTGTACATCAACGTGATGGTTTGGTGTTATTGTCCTGGTAGCTCTATGATCATTTGTTGTTGAAGATTGAAAACAGTTTTTATTACTACATTTCTTCCTCTTGTGGCTGTGTGAAGCCCTAATTTCATCCGGGGATTGGCCAATAGTAGCTTCAGGGCCAAACCCATCCCACTGCCTGTGTTTGTAAGTAAAGTTTTATTGCAAAACTGTCACCTCCATTCACTCACCTGTCATCTTTGGCTGTGTCTGTGCTACCGCAGTGCCAGAGTTGGGTAATTAGACTGCGTGGCCCACAAAACATAACACACGGGTTGAAGAACCCTAACCCAAAAATCTAAGATCTGAAATCCTTCAGGTGCTGCGATGATGCTACAAGGGAAAATGTTCAGTTCCTTAAAAGTTTGTTTCATGCACAAAATGACCTTACAAAATCTCCTCTGACTGTGTGTAGAAGCTGAATTTGAAACAAATGAGTTTCGTGTTTGGACTAGAGTCCCAGTCCCAAGATATCTCAGTATGTATATACAAA